TATATATATATATATATATATATATATATATATATATATATATATATATATATTAACAGATTTAAAATTGTGTAAAACTAATATCTGGAACATTATCTACATATATATAGATAATGTTCCAGATATTAGTTTCACACAATTTTAAATCTGTTATTTATTCTTCATGTTTGTTTACGTGGAGCATGCTAGAATAATACAGTCGTCTGTACCACCCCCAGAATGTTAATATACCTGCAACCTAAGTTTAACAAATATTTATTGAAAACATCTCGGCAATTAAGCCGAACGACGGTGACGTGTACGGGTAAAAGTTGTTCAGAATGATGATACCTTGACACCATATTTCATGGTCATTGAAATCGTTGGGGGGTCAAGCTTAAAATCTGAAAAATCTTCAAGCCAAAACATCCAAACGGGCACGACACAATGACTATGTATAGTAATGAAATGAACAACGCCTGTAAAATATTATTTCTAGCAAATACAGCTTGAAGTATTATTTTTCGTAAGTTTCGTATCCTTGGAAACCCCAATTCACAAATGTCTACTATTATTGTACAATAACAAAGAAGATTTACGATAACGATTCATGCTAAAAATGAATTGCATAAAGCACCGACAACAAGAGATACAATGCGCATCTACGCTTGTTTTTAGGTCTTCAGATGGCATTTGCAAAATACGATAACATTGTCGAGGTACCGGCAGAATCCTCGGCGCAAATAATGTGTCAGATGAGGTCACCCGTCCGCGAGTGTCAATGGTCCTGGCGGCAGTTAAACCAATCGCAACCGTGGAATCTCGAGGTGAAACGATTCTCAGCTTTTGGTAACGACAGCACAGACTGTAGTATCAAGTTCAAGAATGTATTGCCAGGACAAGAAGGATACTGGACATGCGGCGCCAGGGTCGATCCGAATTCCTCATTCACGCAATCAAATCCCATTCGACTTCTCATATCAGGAGGTAAGAAAACGTGATGCTTGCACGAAGGGAATATGCAATTTATTATAGTGGTGAGGTATATCAAATTCACTCCTAACACTAGTGGTGATGTACAGGGTGTCCCAAAAATGTCTCGCAATCCGAAAGTGGCGGGTTCCTCGGGTCATTCGAAGCAACTTTGTCCTTTACAAAAATGTTCTCCGAGGCACCGTTAACGAGTTATTAACGAAAAACAGTGACCAATGAGAGGCGAGCTCGGCTGGCGCGAGGCGACCGAGCCAATGAGCGGAACCGGGCTTCGCGCGTTGATTGGCTGGGCCGCCTCGCGTCGGCCGTATTCGATTCTCATTGGCCACTGTTTTTCGTTAATAACTCGTAAACAAAGCCGCAAATTGCATTTTCGGTAAGGAAGAAGTTGCTTCGAATGACCTCAGGAATCCTCCGCTTCTGGATAAAGTTAATTATGTCAGAAATGATCTCAGGAATCCCTCATTTCCCGGAAGTAACATCATTTTGGGACATTTTGTATACATATTTTCCCCGTTAATAAATCATTAAAGACAAAATGGATAAATTGAATTGTAAAAGGATTCGTTATGCGTAGATCTAAAGTCCGCATCGGTAAATTCATGTTAAATTCCTTCTATCAATGTTCGCGTATCTAAATTGTCTTCCTGTTCCTGCTGCTCAGTCGAGTTCGTCCAACTGTCCAGAGGAATTCAAGTAGCACCCGGTGAGTCAGTGCTGCTCAGATGCCTGGTGAACAAGCCAGTGGTTCAATGCGCGTGGTCTTGGAAGGCTACGAATTCCAGCCAAGAACCTTTGTTAGTGAAGGAATTTAGTCCGAACAAAGACGCCGATCACGACTGTTCCGTACGATTTAAAAACATTCTGTACGAAGAAGAGGGCTTATGGACCTGCGGTGTCCGGTTATCGCCCGAAGGAATTGTGCATGGGGCGCCCCCGGCGACCGTCAGCATACTGCCTACAGGTAATTAATTAGCCTTGGTGGTACATTGAAATTACACATGCTTCGAATCCAATCGAACTTGGTATCAATTTCTTTGAACATCGACGCGCAGAAGCTTTCATACCAATCGGAAAGGTGTTTCCCAGTTTTTCGTCAAAACTCGCCCAAAACGTAAAGCTGCTCCCGTAGAACATGTGTCGTTAATCAATCCGTTCGTCTCTGGTCGTTCCAGCGAAAGTTAGCTTCGTTGAAATGCCGTCGGACACTTCTGCGCCGATTGGGACGGAGGTTTCGTTGAAATGCATAACGAGCAGTCGCGTCGAGAAATGTACGTGGACCTGGAAACCGCTTCACGGGGACGATCCAGAAGCCGTGGCACAGGAATTCCCGAGTAATGGCGACCTTGGTAGAGATTGTTCGCTCACCATACCACGCGTGTACACCGAAAAACAGGGTCAGTGGGCTTGCCAGGTGTCGATCAGTTCCCTGAACACAGTACTGTCCACCCCTTATGCCAAACTCACCGTCTTCGAACAAGGTAACTTCGTCATTTTTCATTCGTTCGAGTCCCGTGACACTGTTGCATTAAGTAGATAAGACACTCAAAAGATAGTTTAATACGTCCGAAACTAACTATAACTTCAGTAGTTATAGAATTTAAATTTTTAAATAAAGAGACTCTAAACGGGACTCTTCCCAACAAACGACAAATAGCAAAAGCCCTTTCTTATATAAAACTCCAGATTTCTCAATGTAATCTAGTATGCTTAAGCTTAGGTAACCAGATTGTAACAACTGAAAATCGTAACACAAGATACGATGACTAGAAAACAAATTAACAAGTGCATACATCTCTCTTGCCACACAAAATCACGTACATGTATTGTGTAATATTATATCTGTGTAACATTAAATCTGTTTTGTTCTACGAAATCTAAAAACACGTGGACAACATGTTTAAATGATTTCGTTATTTATAAATGTATACAAAAAGTGTCTCGAAAGAAAGTGATATTATTCGGTGCCCCCCATTGGATCGATCCCTCTATCGATGTTGATTACGCATAGCTTCGGTCCTGCCGAGGAACCTCTGCAAGGATCTCATAGTGTCGGACAGTGTAACAATTGCAGACAAGGGAAATTTATTTTAAAAACCTTTTGTTCTAAGAAACAGGACGATAAGAACAAATAAAACATGGGGATTTAAGCAATTTACGACGAATATACTATTTTCCCTATAATACTGAACTTCGTTAACACGATAAGAACCTTATTAATTTCAAAGTTACATGTGATAACTTCAAAATTAAGATACATGGAACTTATGTTCATATCACATTTTTAACTTGCTTTGATGTTCGTGTATTATCCTTCGAAATATTGGCATGCTTTTACGAAACACCCTGTATAATTGTTACGATTGACTCGTACAAATGTTCATTATTAGCAACGATTATGTACAACGAAAAGAGAATTTTGATCATATGAAGGTATTACTTGCCAAAAAAATACTGATCGTCAAGGTTATTTTCCAGCGATTTTTATCGTATCGATCATTTCAACAGTAGAAACTTATATATATAATATTATATTATTATATAATATTATTATACATTATTATATATTATTATTATATATTATATATTATATAATTATATATAATTTATTTTTATATTATATTATATTTATAATTTATTTTTTATATTATATATAATATATTATATATTATATATATTATATAATATTATGCGAAATCTTTTTTCTTCTCAATTTTCCTAAACCGTGCCGATTATATTCCAGACGAGGTGAAATTCTCGGAGCTCTCGCAGGACATACAAATATCGTCCGGCGGTTCCGTCCTCCTCCGATGCGTGACCTCGTCGATGGTGGAACAGTGTCGATGGTCCCTGACGCCGGTGAACTCGAACACCACGGTGGTCGTGAAACAGTTCCCCGCGTTCGGGACCGAGGCGCGAGACTGCAGCGTCCGATTAAGCCACGCCCTCGCGGAACAGGAAGGACTGTGGACCTGCGGCGCCAGGATACGCGGCAGACAAAACTACACGGACGCGCCGCCAGCGAAGCTGAGCCTCCTGGAACCAGGTATCATCGAATCCTGAGATGGGTTCGTGATGTTCCTTCCACCGGTGGGGGTGTTAAACATTATTGAATCATCGATCTGAGGATCTCTGGTCGACGTAATCTCGCGCGACGCGTGACGCGACTATCGATACGCGCCCCACGCGAGAACATTGAAATCATGTGGTCGAAATCATCGGTCGGCCATAGATCCTGGAAGTGTGTACAGTGTCAGAGCGTAGTAGTGTTTTTTCTGTGTTTTACGTATTATTGTACAGGATGAGTCACCAGACTCTAGAACGCAAGGAACATTGTTTTTTGTTTTTTTTTTTTTAATTTATTGAAGCCGCAGAAAGTGGAGAAACATTCTGAAAATTGTTTAGTCCTCGTAGAAACGTGCGTATGTAGTATACACATTACGGAGAAAGAAGATTTACCCCGCTTAATTCTTCCTGGAATCAATAACATTCTCTGTCGGAAGTCGATGTGTGTGCGTCAATAGTTCTACAGTTGGTGACGATTCACTTACAGTTTACAGTATCATAATCATAATAATGTTTATAATCGCGACGGTATCTCGGTGCATGCTTTTTTGAATCATTGTCGCACTTTCATTCGCATCTACAACTTGTAAAGGCTTCGCATCACATTTCCTGTGGCATTCGTATCCTGTGAAATGTTTCGACTCAAATTGTCATATGACGTTGATTCAATTGAACGTTGATTGTTGCGATCGATATCACAAGAGGCAATATTTGTTCGTTGAAGCAGATTTCGATGAAGATGTTTGTCAATGTGTTCCGAGCTTTATCATTAAAGATCACGACAGGAGCAATT